TCAAGAAACCTTTTTTAATTATTATTATTATTATCATCAATATTTAAAACAGTTGAGTACATCAGGATTCTTTGATGAATAGAAAGATCCAAAGATCAGCATTTATCTGAAATAAAAAGCTTTTGCAACATTATCCATGCACTATACCAAAAGCTTGGAGTCAGTATACATTTTTTAAATTTATTTAGCAAGGATGCTTTAAATTGATCAAAAGTGATAAGGACATTTATAATGTTACAAACGATTTCCATTTCAGATAAATGCTGTTCTTCTGAACTTTCTATTCATCAAAAAAAACCTGAAAAAAAAAATCGAATCTGTTTTCAACATAATCATAATAATAATAATAATAATAAATGTTTTTTGAGCAGCAAATCAGCATATTAGAATGATTTCTGAAGGATCATGTGACACTGAAGACTGGAATAATTATGCTGAAAATTCAGCTTTGAAATCACAGGAATAAATTACATTTTAATAAAAATATTTCACAATATTACTGTTTTTGCTGTATAATAAATGCAGGCGTGGTGAGCAGAAGAGACTTCTTTAAAAAACATTAAAAATCTTACTGATCAAAACATTTTGACTGGTATTAAAACTATTTCTAAAGTGCCTAAATGTCAAAATTAGTACAATATATTTGTTGAAAAAGTCTAATACACTATTGAATTATTAGGCTGTGCGATTTATGATTTATTATCGATTTATTATCGAATGAAAAAAATCGGAAATGATCACGTTGGTACATCGAGAAGGCATAAATATAAAATAATAAGAATAAGAATAATAATAACTAAAAAAAAAAAAAAAGCAGGGCAGCGGGCTAAATCAGCCGCCAGGCCACCGTGAATTCTCCCGGTTCTCCCGATGGCCAATCCGGGCCTGGGCATCAGCAACTGGGAAAGATGTGGGACATACTGTATCGTTCACTAGGAAACAGTTGGTCTCTTCAGCCCTTACTGAGGTTAAGTGCTTTGCTCTGGCACAATGGCAATAGATAGGATGCCTTATTCAATTCTCCAAGTGATGCATCACCTCCATATGGGAGTCAACAAGCAACTTTGGCATTAATAGCCCAGGGTATTAACCATTAGATTGCTCACTCCACTAACTCTTTGAAGGTTGTTTGCTATGCATTGGTGTTAATTTGATAAATTAATTTGATAAACCCACGTTAGTCACTCTCACAGTTTATACCGTCACATTTTGTGCGATCTTTGTTAGGTCCAGTAGAAGTACATTAGAAAGTGTTACATCCGAATGGGGTCAGCCATGATACATCTAGTTTTTTTTAAACATACGGGATGAAAAGCTTGTATTAATGTTATACATTTAATTAACAACAGAGCCTACTGATGATACCAATTCATTTAACATGATGAAATGATCAAATGGTAAATTATAGTTTCATACTTTATGAATGTTTTTGTCATTCATTTATATTTGATCACATTGTATCACCTGTACGTGCAGGTAAGCATACACCAGTCGTAGTGAACGTGCAAACAATTACTAAATACAGTAACAAACACATGCAGGTGTTTTGTTTCCTTATCAGTCTGTACCTACATCAAGCTCGTCATCATTCGATGCTATCTGTACGTGTGCATTTACATATCCACTTGACAACCAGTGGCATTTACTTTTTCTCTCCGCCGACCGTGCGCAAAGATACATCGTCTTTGTCCCTGGTGAATCTTATTTTGGGTACATCGCTGACGCTTTCTTGAGGGCTGAACTTTGCCCACACGCTCCTCATACACTTCCAGCGCTCGTTAACGCCGTGTCCTCATGGTTGTCTCACACAGCTCCCCGCGGAGGCGTGCCCACGCCGCTCAAATACAGCGCCGCAGACGCGCGTCTGACTCATTGGGTTTGTCAGAGCGTATACAGTGAGGTAAGCAGAGCCGCGCTGCCCACGCCGAGGAGAACATGCGATTGTCTCGAACCATACCCACTCCCGACATTGAGACACAGCGCGTTCGTCTCAGTGTATAGTGAAGCGCCTTTGCCGATTTAGGAGAGAAAAGTTTTAGGAGGTGACAAAAGCTACGACGGTTTGGACGTCTACTTTCCATTCAGCTGTTTGTGGAGGACGCATGATTTACCTGTGCCGGACCAAAAGCGAAGATTGCATGAAAGGTGAGAGTCTTTCACTGACAAATCTTGGATTTGGAAAGGAAGTAGTCGCGAAAATATTTATTTGTTCTGTGGGCCTTATTAATTAAGCTGTACAAGTTTAAGATTGTCTTTCAACCTGATTAATTGAAACGTGGCTACTTTTTTTTTTTTTTGCTGGAATATTTTATAGTTGTGTATATGACTTTGCTAATGGACTGTGAACTAGTGATGGATGTCTGCTAGGCTCATTAGTCAATTTAAGAACTATTGAGTAAAATAAGTGTTTATTTCATGTTAATGTCATTTAGTGCTATTTGTATTTAACAGTTTTACCTGACTAGAGCCCCAGTAAAACCAAGGTAGAAGAAAAGCAGGCATTTTTAGGCTGGTTTAAGCTTGTTTTAGACTGATTTAAGTAAGCAGTATCACTATTGGCATTAGTTACTAAAAAAAGTAATATCAGTCAACCACTATGAAGTAATTGCACTGGTTTGTAATAATTAACTCTTGAAGAGTTGCAGATGACCATGTAAGGACCTCTGGGCCCGGTTTTTCAAAAGTAATCCACTAGGATTTTGGATAACGGATTGGATCAAATCTTGAAAATGTGTTTTTCAAAAGAAAAATCGGATTACATAATCGGATTAGATCACGTAATCCAATCTTGGTTTTGATCCGGATCAAACCTTTAGTTTGGGTTTTTTTTAGAACTTTTTTGTAGGATTTGGATCACTTTGATCCAAAAAATCTGGATTAAACCTTTTGAAAAACCGGGCCCTGCTGAGTAAAGTTAAAGATGGACTTTCAGTTAAAGCAGTTTTTTTGCTTTGTTAACTGCAACATTAAAAAAAAACTTGTATTTATTATTAGTCTGCGACTATGAGATAACCATCAGGATTACTTTACATTTACGCAGCTGTTTGACTATGAATGTTCTTATTGTGGGTTTATCTAAGTGTCTCTTTCTACAGCAAATGTGGCAACATAAAACACATTGGACAAATTTTGGGTTTAAAAATCTGCTATTTCTGAGATAGTTCACAAAGCACATTGTGGTTCAGATGTTCACAAAGGAATGGTAATTTCCTTACAGATGTGCTTGTGTGTGTTTGTCTGCTTGTTGCCAGTAGATCAGATCAGTCTATTTTATTTCGTGTTTGCATTTCTCACCTGACACACGCTATTACACACCATTGTCTTTGGGACAAGAAATATTTTGAAGGTGGCGGGATGTCGTCTAAAGCTGTTTCCTGTAGAAAGTTTCTCCTCCACAATAGGCATTGGGGCTAAAAATAGTTGGAGGTCTGAGTGGTGACCAACATCAGAAGCATCTGAGGATGCTGAAATAATGGGCCAGAAAAAAAAGAGAGCGGAAAAAATAAAATGCAGCACAATGGTATGGGCCACATGGCCAGCACAATGTGGGAATAAAGGTGAGATGTTTTTGGGAACACGAGACAAAAGAAAAACTAGCTGCCAGTGTTACATAACTTCTGCAAGGCAGAACTACAACACCCCTCTGTGCATTTAGACTTGACCTAATGAGGCCCTCAAGGGCATGTTAACACGGGTTGGTTCAAATACATGTTTGAAATGGGTGTTGTTATCGTCCTTTTTCCAGCAGTGTCTCAGATGACTCACAGACGACAGACGTTCTTCCACTCTTGCTAGACACGAATGCTTCATATTTGAAGCTCCTGTGCTGCATGCAGGAGGAGACAATGCATAAGTGTGTTAATGCTTGACTGAAAGCCATCCTAGCCTGAGATCTTGGGTGTGGGTTTATTTGTAGCCATTTTTCCATGAAGAGCTGACAGACAGTTGCAGTCAGATTGCCACATAAGAACAATGTTCTGGGTCATTTTATGCTTAAACATTAAGGTAGTGTGTGGCTAAATATGAGGTGAAAAACATGGTTAAGAAAAGTAACACTTGGACCACACATGTAAATATCTCTTTGGGGTAAAAAGCATGAAAACATCTTTCTCTTGTTCTTTGTTTCAGATCTCAAGGCTATACTGAGTTGCACCACACTGGGAGGCTTACTGGATAAGCAGGAGAAGTATCCCTGTGACTCCAAAAAAGTGTCTCCGCTTCTATCTTCTCCCACGATGGCCCTGGCCTCCTTCCATCTGATGCAAACTCTAAAGAACTCTCCGGCGGCTCTGCGTCGGCGATTCCGTCGCGACCGAACAGAGAGCCTGTCTCACGGCGATCCCCTCTTCAAGGTGCACTACCTTGGCACCAAGAAGATCTTCTCCCTGGACTTGGAGCAGGCGGAGGATGCCATCGATCGACTCCTGGATGGAGCCCCTGGGAAGCTTTCTAAAGATCACGCCCTAGTAGTGCGACCCCGATACGTCGAAGTTAAAGAACTGAGCACCGGAAGGCAGCTCACCAAGACCTACTTGCAGGATATCGCGTACTGCGCCTCGCACACGGCCAGACCCAATGTGTTTCTGTACATCTGCAGGCAGCCCGGTCAGCAGCTGCAATGCAGAGTGTTCTGGTGCAGTAGGGCAGAAAGGGCAAAGGACATGACCGCCTGCCTGGCAATGTCGTTTCAGAGAGCGCTAAATGACTGGCAGGGGGGATGTGCCACGTTGCCGCAAGGGGAAGGGATCACTAAAGAGCCAGAGATTTCTGGTACGCCCACTGCATCCATAGGCTCAACATTGCCAGCTAGTTTGGGAAAAGGTGAGTTAAAGCAGAACAAAGTGGAGACAGATGAGTGCTGTACTCTTGTAGCTTAAACAAAAGATGCTAGCAATACCAAGGTCATGGGTTTGATTCCCAAGGAATGCATGAACTGATCAAATGAGTATCTTGTATGTAATGCAAGTCAATTTTGGTACTGAGATTCTTGTTTCTGGTTGTCTTTCATATCCATATCATATCCTGCTTTGCCTGGTTCTACCTCAGTTTGCCATTTTTATTCAGCTTTGAACTTAAAGCGTAGGTTCTAATTCCAAACTGATAATGAAGATTAGCAGTATTGCTATGTGCTTTTAAAATGAGATTATTCTTTCTATGCACCTGCATTCCAGCAGTTTTTGAGGCCATAATGGCTCATGCACCCCCCCCCCCCCCGACTTATTCAAAGGTATGCTTATATAGAGCGTCCTTGAAAAAGCAGCATCTTTGCACTGCAGTTATATGTAGTTATAAATTGCAAGGATGCGGGGTTTTAAAGACAATCAGTTTTATTCTAAACTACCGTATGCTTTCACATGCTCTTTTTTTTTTAAAATTTTTATATGGCCAAAACCTCCACACATTATTACCAATGACTGAATTATAATTACACCATCAATGTGACCATCATGCATGGTGCATTATGTACTGCATAATTATATACTGGCTTGACAATCAGGGCTGGTTGTAATTTGGCGTTTTGGTACTGAGATTCTTGTTTCTGGTTGTCTTTCATATCCATATCATATCCTGCTTTGCCTGGTTCTACCTCAGTTTGCCATTTTTATTCAGCTTTGAACTTAAAGCGTAGGTTCTAATTCCAAACTGATAATGAAGATTAGCAGTATTGCTATGTGCTTTTAAAATGAGATTATTCTTTCTATGCACCTGCATTCCAGCAGTTTTTGAGGCCATAATGGCTCAAAATGACGTCAGAATGCTGACTTATTCAAAGGTATGCTTATATAGAGCGTCCTTGAAAAAGCAGCATCTTTGCACTGCAGTTATATGTAGTTATAAATTGCAAGGAAGCATTTTTAAGTGGCCTGGTTGTTTTTAATGTAAATGCAACTTGTTTTACTACATCAGCCCATTTTTCTTTGAGAAGAAAAAAGCCCAATAAGTCACTGTCTCCAGGCAACAGCTAATGACGTCAGAATGCTGACTTATTCAAAGGTATGCTTATATAGAGCGTCCTTGAAAAAGCAGCATCTTTGCACTGCAGTTATATGTAGTTATAAATTGCAAGGATGCGGTTCCTCTCGGCTTCCCTGAACCACAATCATCTCCAGGAAATTCAGGAGGGCCCCAGTGACCAGGAAGCGCTCTGGGAGGGACAGGGTTTGGAGGTAGCGCATGTCCAAAGAGAAGGGGTTGTCGGGAGGCGGCATGGTGCACAGTCCCACCAACTCACTCACTACATCCCATACATGAGTTCCTACAGGGTAGATGAAAGTTTTGTGTGTTATGTAAGACCCTTGTAAAATGAAAAGTACAGATGTTTGATTACTATCCTTCTGGTGGACTTGGGGATTGATATGCTTTATGGTAACACAGCAATATATGGATATACAACCACTAAAGCAAGTTGTATGTATATTTATACATAATATTTAGCATGTTTCGCAATATTCCCGTCTGTCAAACATATTTTATTGGACTGTCCAACTTTTAATGTATGTAGAAAACTCTTTTATGAAGTGAACTCACCTTTGCCAGAAAAAGTTAAAAAAAAAATTATCATATGTTAATGTAAAAAATCTTGTGTGATATAACTTGTGTTTGTTTGTTAGCTGGTTTTTATTGTATTTGTTATACTTGTATTTTTTTTATTGTTTTTGCCATGAAAATAGCCTAAGATGCTGACATGGCATTAAATAAATATATACTACTACTACATAATCTTTAACCTTGTTTAAAAAAAATAGTAAAAGTTTCCAAACTTTGATCCAGGAACATAAAGAAATATTGTATATAATAAAATTGTGAAAAAATGGCCAATAAAAGTTGAAGATGGTGAAATAAAGAAGTTTAAAGATATTAAAACCTTGGGATGTTGAAACCCAGTCTGTGATGGACTTCAGCTTCATTGGTGTATCTTTGACTAGCGTATCAGTTCCTCCGACGTTTACTAGGCGCTCATGATTGGATCGAATCCAGACATAAGGTTGCCCATACTTGGCATAGCCGGCTAACAGGAACAGGGTGCAGTTCATTTCCTGCAATGAAAACAAATCTTTTGAGAGCCTTGACCACTGCAAGACAATCAGAAATTTCATCTTGATAACTTACAGAAAACCTAAAAGTTAAAGGTAAACGATTGTATATACAACATTTTATTATATAGCAAGAGTGCATTATGCAACTTAATTGTATTTCATCTTTAATCTCTTTAATTATGTGCACTACTGTTCAAACATTTGGGTTAAGTAAAAAAAAATCATAATTATTGTAGCGTCTGGACCACTCAAACACACAATATATATTTTGTTTTTATATTTAACAAATACTCAAATAGATTATTTTTGATCAAATAAATGCAGCCTAGGTGAGCAAAAGAGATTTCTTTCAAAATCATAAAAAAAGCTTACAGACCCTAAACTTTTGAACAGTAGTGATTATTTTTTCAAACCTAAATGAATTGCCAGTGTATTTTAAGATTAGTAATGTTCTTAATATGTGACCACGGGCCACAAAACCAGTCATAAGGGTCAATTTTTCAAATTTTAGATTTATACATCATCTGAAAGCTGATAAGCTAAATAAATAAGCTTTCCATTGATGTATGGTTTGTTAGGATAGGACAATATTTGGCCGAGATACAACTATTTGAAAATCTGGAATCTGAGGGTGCAAAACAATCAAAATATTGAGAAAATCGCCTTTAAAGTTGTCCAAATGAAGTTCTTAGCAATGCATATTACTAATCAAAAATTAAGTTTTAATATATTTACAGTAGGAAATTTACAAAATATCTTCATGGAACATGATCTTTACGTAATATCCTAATGATTTTTGGCATAAAAGAAAAATCAATAATTTTGACCCATACAATGTTTTTTTGGCTATTGCTACAAATATACCCCAGCGATTGGTTTTGTGCTCCAAGGTCACATATGTGAATTTGACATTGGCAATGATACTCACAGGAACAGCGATCTCTCTCTCACTGGGTGAGGCTGGGAGAAGATGAGAATCAATATTCCTGTGAGTGAGTAATGAAAATAATTGATATACAGCACTTAGTTTATAATTGCTACAGTCCAAGGATATTTTTCCTCCACCTGCTGGGAGTTTGTTGCTGTGTGGCGTCTGGTGTCTCTGGTTTGTACTGTGGAGGTGGCCCTTCTCCTGCTAAAGGAGAGCTGGCATAGTCGCTGTCCAGACTGTAACTGCTACTGCAGGTTGAGCTGGTAAAGGTGGAGGCCACAGACACGGCGAACCCAGGAGAACGCCATCTCTGTGAGCAAAGAGTCACGTTGCCATAAGATACAACTGTCACTGATGCAGCAGCACTTGAGCTTGAGATGAACTATGTTTAATGTTTCCAGAGATAAACGTGTATGTTTGAAGCTGCACTGTATGACTTAACATCTCCAAACATCTTCTCAAACACATTTTTAATATAGAAAAGTATGAGAGAGTAAACAAAAAGGGACAAACAGAGAAACAAAGACCCCACCAAGTCATCATTGACCACAGTCAGCAGAAGTTCCTCTCTCCCTCTTAGCCAGGGCTGAAAATAATGGAAGCCCTACAGACAGACATAAAACACAGCAAAAACAGCGGCATGAGCTTTAATTACCTCAGAAAGTCGTGCAGGTTTAATTAAATATGAAACTGTAAAAAGTATTGCTTTAGGAAAAGTCCACCTGTAAAGAACCCAGTATTGCAAGCTCTGACAGGAAGTGCTGAAGTCTCGCCCTTTGTTCATGTTCCTGCATCTATCACAAAGGCAAAACAGTTTAGATAATTAGTTGTTCTTATAACGTACACAATACACACTTATATAACAACAAATGGCTTTTAATGGTGAATGAACAAGATTCGATGAAGCCCACATCCACTAAGGGCTCGTCGCTTCGTTACTAGGCAACGGTAACCAAGCCTGTCATTGCCAGCGATGGATTGAGAAAATAAAACCCTTTGCATTTAATATGCGAATATACAATTAATGTTTTCACCAAACACATCATCATGATACGACCTCTGCAACACCGTTTATGGCTGTCAAACAAAATCTAACCGGTTAGTTACCGAAATATCTGGAAATTTGAGCATAAGCGCATAAATAAGCATGCAATCAAAAGACATGTTCATATACTTACACCAGAACTCATGTTTACACGTACACTGATGGACACTCAAACCAATTTGCTGTAAATGCGATGCATTTACATTGAGCAAATTAATGCAAGCACACTGTCACGCCTATTCCCACATCCATTTCTTTGTCTTCCCTCTGCAATGCATTGTATCACTTTTTTGTTAAATTAATAATACATGCAATAGTCTCTTATCCTAATGTTTTTCCTCCACGGTTTTAGGTGTTTCGGATTTTAGGTCTTATTTGGTATTTGATCTCGCGCTGATCATTGTGCAGATACTTCTGTCGCGCACAAGGGATCATCTGCGTGTTGTGCTCTTAAAGAAAAACGAAACCATATCGCATAACACCTGTGTGTATAATACTTATACTTTGATGTATTTTTGGAGAGTAACATTTAACACAACATCACAGGATAAATTTGAGGAATCAAATCTAATCAATTTATGACCAACCATAAATAGTTCTGACCAACAGGTAAAATCTGGAATTTATAGTCACTGCCATTTTGTATTCCGTTGAGAATTATTCAGTGTCTATGTAGCTAAATATAATAGCGGTGTCGTCAGGCACTGTAATTTAGCAACATGGTTATTATTTGCATTTAGCCACAGTGCCAGATCATCACTTATTGCGTAATAACCTAAGTTAACTGATTAAATGAAGACATTATGCAGTATTATTGCTTATGAATCTGTGGTTTGCATGTCTTAGAAGGGTTATAGGCTGGGGTTTAGATGGTAGGCCTGGTGGTCTCCCAGCCTGGCCAGCTAACAAGTGCCCCTAAACCACTCTAAAACCATCAAACCAGATTTCAAAGTTTTCTCATGTCATATAATCATCTGTCTCCCACTACTAATACTGCCTGTGCCAATACATTGGTGACTTGCACATCAGTAGGCTACGTTTGTATGTATCACGTTCTTTAAGGGTTTCATCTGATTATTACCGTAAAAGGTCAATCGTTTTTTCATATTTAATTTCAGCACATGAATCAATCACACATACTATAAAATTCAGGTTCACAAAAAGGACACAATCTGTAGCTGGTGAATTCTGTGTTGACTAGAAATGACTCACTGCATATATCAAGCAAAATTATGTCAAGCCACCCTGTTGCCCACAACAGGAAGTGAACACAATTGCAGCCATACAATACTGCCAGAAGAGATTCAGTGGAATGTGTATTGTCTACTAGCTGCAAAAACACTCTGGGCCAGAACACATTATGTACTTTCTGTTTTAATCAGTCATCTTATTAATTGTTCTGCTGAAAAAAACAAAATGCTGGACCAACGTAGGCTACTGATGTCACGGTTTCACTTTTAGTCACTTCTCAGAATATAATAAAGAAGTATGATATGAGTTCACTGTTTCTCATTATAGTTTGTGATAGTTTCTTCCTCTTTCTTTCAAGGCGACCATCATTCCTAAATGCTACTTCTAGTTTCAAATAAAAATAGTGTTTTTAAAATGGATGCCAAAAGCTTTGGTTCTGACATTTTAGTTTTAAAAACTATTTCAAATATGAAATATTCAAAAATGAAATTACTCAGTTTTATAGTGTTACCTCTGTTCATTTAAGTGGTATGTTATCGGATGGTTTACGTTTCCAAAACTGACCTCACTTCCTGTCTGACAGTTTAGCTGACAGCATTATGTTCTTTTCCTGTATATAGCTACACTGTGCTTTTTAAACACTATCTATGGACATCCTGTAAAGATTACGTAGCCTGAAAAGAGCTCAATATACAGCCACTGTTTATTTAATTAATCAATGTAAATAATTCACTTCTGGACCTTCAGTGTGAGAATCTTTATAACAGAGAAGTACAATGTGTCTACTCTATTCAATTACACTGAAAAGCTTGTTTCATTCCCTCATTTTGCTCTTTCCATTCAGACAAACCCTTCAAATGTCCCCTGAAATATATCCACTCATTAGCCTAGCACAAAATATTATTTTTGTTTTAGCCCTGATTCATAAAAGCTGGAGAATGTGGTGCAGCTTGTGTCAGTTCATTCATTTGTTTCAGGCCAAAAGATTTCATTCCATTGAACACTGCTGTCTTTATGCTTTATGTTCAGTCCTTGAGTGAATTGTTTTAGTCCATTTTATTTTATTCTGTTTCCTTTCCACCTCTCATCTTTTGGATGCTGATATGTGGATGGGTGCTGAAGGCCACACTCTAAAAAATGCTGGGTTAAATGCAACCCAGTGCTGGGTAAAATAGGGACAAACCCAGCAATTGG